CCGGGAGTCTGCTCTTCACGTTGCGGCCTGGTGAGGGGAGGCTGGCTGACCCAGACCCTCGCGCATCTGTACGAAGCACGACGGACAAATGTTGCTATCTTTGGGGCTTCTGGGGGTCCAGTAGGAACGATTCAGGATGAAAAGCCGGTCCCCTGGGGGGGGTCCAGATCTCCGAGGGCCCATGCTATGACAACACCACGACGTCGAAGTTCTGTGGAGGCAGGAGGCCGAAGGGAAGAGTGGAGAGAGAAAGAGAGAGAGAGGAAGGAGGCGGTGGTTGAGGTGGTATGGGACGAGCGAGCAGGAGGAGGGGGAGGAGGAGGATAATGAAAACGACTCCTCCACCTCCTCTTCCTCCTCCTCTTGCTCCTCCTCCTCTTGCTCCTCCTCTTCATCCTCCTTTACCTCTTCCGCTTGCGCCCATTACGCCTCTTCCTTCCCTTCTGCGTCACGCCTTCGCGGCCGACCTTACAGATCCTTCCTGGACGAAATGGCCACGCTCACGGGGACGCACACCAGCAGGCAGCGTACTGTTGAGTCAGGAGACGTTCCACGACCATGTGCGACTCGCCCGACTCATCGACTCCGACAAGGCGCAAGACTTCCCGGCCACATGCCCGCCCCTTCTCGAAGCTCCTCCTTTCCTTGCACCTCGCGCTCGTGCCCGCGGGCGGGCCGGTGAGCCCACCCTGGAGCTACAAGAGGGCCAAGGTAGGATCCCAGCGAGGGCACGGTGCTGACAAGGGCGCCAAGCGCTGACAAGGGCACGGTGCGGTACAGAGGAGGCAAGCCTTTGGGCGCCAAAAGCGCGCCCTCACTCCATCGGCGGATCAAAACGGAACTGACAAGACGCGCAATTCATGGCGCCAAACAGGCACGACCGTACACAGTTGCGGAACTCATTTGCCAACACCAGACGACCCGCAGGAAGATTAGCGGCGGCAGCGGCCCAGGGTTCCTGGGCAGCAGCAGACGGTTGGGCAGCGGGCGATGAGTCCTTGTCCAGAGGGATGACACGGTGGCCCGAGGAGCAGGGACTCTCGAATGCCAGCGTTCTTGCTGGGGCGGGCCGTGAGCCCGCCAGCGTGCTCTGAAGGCGGCGGGTACCCCCATGTCCGCCGCGGCGGTCGTTACGGCCAGCAGCAGGGGGGCCTCTGTGACACGCATGGGAACCAGGCCTCGCCGCTAGGCAGACACAATGTGAGCATATGTGAACCCTACCCCAACTGTCAAGACTTCTGAAAAACCAGCTGGATGCTAGAATTTGAAGGATGCCTGCACCCAGGTAAACATCAGCGGTGATGTCCGATGCCCCAACGTCGATTAGACCCAAAGGGGAAAGATTCACAGTCGGTCGCAGAGTCGAACGAAACTGCCTGCGACGGCTACCAATGCGGCCGCTGACTTGGGCATCGCCTCCTGTGCTTGAACGCGGCGGCTTCGGGTCAAGGCTGAGGCCAGAAACAGAGAAAGCTGGCGCTCGTGCCAGGCGCGCTGCACGCGTGTGGCGTGGCGCACGGCACAGCAGGCAACGATCTCCAAAGACCGCTGCTCTGGGCCACGGGTGCCCTCACTGGGCGGGTCTGCGGACATGATGGTCGAGGTCTCGCACGGGTAAGGCTTCGGGCTGCGCACAGACAGCCACTCAGGTGGCCCCAGCTGGTCTCAGCAGCCCCCCGGAGTAGTTCCAGCTGGCCTGAACAGGCCCCCTGAAGAGTCCAAGGCGGTCTCAACACCCCGACGCCGCGTGCAGCGGTGCCACCGCGCCCCAGGGCTGAAGTGTTGAGACCGCCCCAGACTACTCGAGGGGGGCTGTTGAGGCCAGCTGGGACTACAGTCAAAACTGATAGTAAGGATGCGCGATCAGGGTGCAAGCCCCTTCGACGTGCATGTCGATGATCTTCAAGCGGAGCTGGCCATCGAAAGTGGTTGAGGACGGACCGAAGATGACCGAAGACGCAAGGATGCAAGGGTACCATTGGGACAAATCCCATCCTTAGTATCGTGTTCGACTGTTCTCGAGGGGCCTCTTGAGGGCAGCTGGGACTCCCTGGGGGGGCTGTCTGTGCGCAGCCCGAAGGCTTCCCATCTCACACGCCATGCTCTCCTGTCTTGTCGACGTCAAGCCGCGGCTGCAGCTGCGGTTCAAGCAGCCAGAAGAATGCTTGACGGCGCTCCTCGTCGCAAAGCTCGAGAGGATTGAGCCTTGAGCCCAACTCCGACAACACCGAAATACTACAATGATGGATCCGCTTTTGGCAGGCGCGCCCAGGTCTGCACCCCAATGTTCGACGCTCTCGGACCTCGCCAAGGCCACGCCTGCCTGCCGCAGGCCCGCGACTCTGGCCCAAAACGCATGCCACACTGGGAGCAGCGATTGTGAGCTTCTTCTCAATCATCCGCTCACTCAGCCGATACAAGTTGTTTGCTCCTTCTCACACAGCCGCTCACTCAGCCGATCCTGTCGACACGAGCCCTGGACATCCTTTCTTACACAGCAAGTGCCAGGAAATTCAAAGCCTGGAGGTACGATACCTTAGAGGACGGCGACCTCGGCAACGACAAGACGGGACGCCGCCCCCGACGTAGGAGGGTCAACGAGAAGGGGGACCGGCTCAGGGAAGGAAACATCGAGCTCGAATGGGCGATACACCGCCAGCAATGGGCGATAAGCACCCGATAGCGACACCGCTCGTTCCTGGGCGGGGTGAGCTATCAGGGGCCCAACGGCGATGAATGGGCGATTGGGTGTCGACGCGTTAGCGCCCCCGAGTCTATTCCGCCCCCCCCCTCAACATTGCCCCTGACCCGACATACTCGACGTCCTCGTCGCCGTCGCCGTCGTCGTCGTCACCGATGCCGTCGTCATCGTCGCGGCGTCGAAGACAGGCGGGCGCACACCGCCGGAAAGGGCTCCAGGAGGGGAGGACCGGAGGAGAGAGGAGTGGAGGAGGAGGAGGAGGAGGAGGAGGAGGAGGCAACGTGTGGGAAACCTTTGTGGGAACGCGTATGTGCCGTTTGCAGCCAGACTCAGGGGCCATTAGTCCTGCTTTGGCAAGACTGGGCGACTAGGCACAGGGCTAAGCCGAATAGAACGGGATTCGATGTATGAGCGCCGGTGCTGAATATCATCTCCCAGGAGTCACACCCTAAGAAGGGAAGTGAAGGAAGAGAGAAGATGTCCCTGGAGGTTCCGGGACGTGTTGCAGAGATCTTCGGAAATCTTTGGGGGTCTCTGAATGCCGCCACCAGCAAGACTTCTTCCGCAAAGGGGCAAGAGCGTCCAGAAAATTGAATCCCCGACTCGATCCGACCACGACGGCGACTTTGCGGCGCGACAAAGGGAGTGCCAGACATCCGATGTCTTGATTGTTTCCATACGGGCCTCCCAGGAGCCCCAAACCTTTCCACAATGCAGATTTGGCTGTCCCAGTGTTTGGTGAAGGCTGCCAGAAGCCAGGAGCTGCGAAAGTGTGCTGCTCTTCTGTCTGACAAGACGTCGGGTGTCTGTGGCTAGGCAAAGGAGACGCGGAGGAACGATCGGAGGGGACTTCGGGGAAACGTCGAGGTCGAATCGGCGATACATCGCCGCCGATGAATCGGCGATGTGCACTTGCCTGGGCGGGTTGGGGCTATCGGGCCGCTACCGGCACAGGCCCCCCCGTAACTCTAGTCCTGGCTGGCCTCAACAACGCCCTCGCGCCGCCTCCTGCGGCGAAGCGCCCCCGGGGTTGAGGTGCTGAGGCCGCCGCAGGCTAGCTGGGGGGCCCGCTGAGGCCAGCCAGGACTACCTTTCGGGGGGCTGTCCGCGTGCAGCCCGAAGGCTTACCAGCCCCAGAAATTATGGGGGCCGAAGAAGAGCGGCACACACACAAACACACTTCTCCTCCAGCGGCTAGGCGACAGCACCACAGCGAGTACTAAGGCGGGGCACGCTTAGCTCACTTACCATCTGACGCTGCAGAGTGAAGGTCTGGACACACACATACACACACACACACACACACGCAAACGCACGCACACACACACAGACGCACACACACACACACACGTACACACGTACACACACACACACACGCATCCTTCGTGTGTGTCTGAGGCGGCTGGCGGGCGCGGGTTCCGCACGCACGGGAACCGACAGCGACGAGGACGAGATCGACGAGGGCGAAGAGGACGACGATGACAGGGCGAAGACGAATATTGCAAGGACGATGAGGGCGACGAGGGTAACGAGGACAGGGCGAGGACGAAGACGGCGAGGACGATGAGCGCGAGGGCGGCAAGGGCAAGGACGGCGAGTGCGAGGACGACGAAGGCGAGGCCGAGGACGACGAGAGCGATGACGATGATGGCGAAGGGCGGCGAGGGCGAGGAGGACGACGGGGGCGACGAGGGCGAGGATGACGAGGGCGAGGATGACGAAGGTGGGGGTGACAACAAGGGCCTACGACTCCGCCCTCTGCGTGGTGCTCGCCGCCGCTGGGCGCAGCGGGGCCGGCGTCGTCCTCGCCTGGCGATGCGCGCTGGCGGCGTGCCCCCCCCCGTCCGTCCTAGCACGCTTCGCTCCTCGTCAAGTGTGTGGTGTGGGGTAGGGCGGACGAAGTCCGCCTGCCGCCTCAGCGGCTGGAGCGGGGCTAGTCGCCCTCGAGTGGCCAGGCCTCGGTGGCCTCGGCCTCGCGTTTAGCTCGCCTGCACTCCTGCGTCCATTCTACCGCCGAATCGGGCGAGGCAAACCCATGCAGGCGAGCAACTCGCCCCAGGTCCAATACGGGGACCGAGACCCCGTACTGGTGGAAGCTGGCGGGGGCCTGAAATCGGCTGGCCACGGGGCCCCCAGGGGGCCCGCCAGCCGGCCCCAGCGAAGGCCCAACCCCCACCGAGGACCCAACACTCCCAACAGGCCCCCCCAGCTTCCCCTGGAGCCATTCGATATCCTCGTCCTCGGGGCCTCTACAAGCAGAAAGCCGCGGAGGAGGATGGAGGGCCGAAGGGTGGAGGTACCGACGAATACGGGACCTCTGGGCACGAAACCCAGGATGCCTCGGGCCCAAACAAGCCCCCGCGATGCCCCTCCCAGGCACCACTCGCTGAGCCAGCGAGGCCCCGCAGGATTTGCAAAAAACAAGCACGGGTGTGTTCGGGGCCCTCCACGTCGCATTTCACAACGGAGCGCCGTTGAAACAGCCACGGCCTCCCAAACAGCACCCCCACCTCCACGCCCCCCCCATCGATCGGCTCGGGTTCGGGCTCGGGCTCGGGGTCGGGCGGCGGCGGGGCAGGGGCGGCGAGCCTCCAGTCAAGCCTTTCGCGGGTTCGGAGGGTTTCCTCGAGGATCGCGGCGTCACGATCGTCGGTGTCATATTCTAAGTCAAGGACAACACCCGAAGTGCCTACCACACCCTCAACGTCCCACGCCTCAGGGTCTCCTGGCCACGCGTGCACAGGTCCTGTCCATCTCACCAGTTTGACAGCAATATCTCCACAAGCTTCCTTGAAGAGGACCTTCTGGGGGGACCTTCTAGAGCAAGGCCCCCTTTGTGGCCCATCGGTCCGCGAAGCTGTTGCCAAGCCTGCACCACGCATCGAAGAAAGAGGCCTCTTGTGATGCCGAAGAATGGGCCTTGACTTTTCTCGCGCTCGCACTGTCACCGTGCTTCAGCCACCAGCTATCCCAAAAATGTCTGTTGGGATTCATGAGGTTCAGCGCATTCGAGGCGTTCCTGGCACAGCCTATGGACCCAGCGCAATCCGAGATGACTGACAGGGACCCGTCGCTTGCAGGGTCGACCGAGAAACGCGACAACATGTGGAACGCATAATCTCCCGCGCCCCTAGAGAGGGCTCCGCCAAGGACCATGTCAAGGGGACAGCACCATACATTCCACATCTGAGCGAGCCACCATCGTTGCAGCTGGTGACAGCCCATCCCGCACGACGCAGGCCGCCATGCTGGGTAACAAATGAGGAGCCGTCCACAAACACCTCTCCCTCGGAGAGCCACCCAGGCATGCGCCCCACGAAGCGGATCTGATCCTCCCCGGGGGGCATTTCGATCCTGAAAGACATGCGACGGCGAGGGCAGCAGGCCCCTGGCAAAGTATTCGCCGCACTCCTCGCCCTCCTCGAAAGCAATGCGAGCCGCCCTGCGCGGCTCGGGCGAACAAAACTCTCCCCTGAGAAACTCCGTGCTCGGGCAATCGAAACAACGGTGCCAGAAGGCCCACGGGCCCCGCATTTCACGCAAAACGGGTGGGTGGCCCCCCTTTCGCGTGGACTGTTCTGGCTCCAGTGGGCCCCGCAGTTGACAGATCTGAAGGCGTGCACGTGCCTCTTGGTCCACAGCTCTGGGGTTCTAGCCAACGCCAGAACCGCGGGCCCCCAGTGGAGCTCCGAAGCTCACGGACCCCCAAGCCTTCTCAGAGCTGTGGCATCAGAGGCGTCACAGCCAGAAGCACGGACCGCCTGGCAGACAGCACCAGGCGAAAAAAAGTCGAGGTCGATCTCGCGCTGGCGATGATCGAGCAACAGGTTGTGCCGAGCTAGTTGGCAGCCGGCTCTGGCGAAACTAAGCGCAGCGGCCTGGCCTGGGTCAGTGCACCTGTTCCACGGCTTGTCGACGCCAAGCAGCTGCGCGGCGCCAGCGCGCAGCACTCTGACAACTTCTTGCTGGAAGGGGCCCAACTCCCATGGGCCACGCCTGGGCCACCTCCACAGCATTGACCACGAACGGGCCCCTGACCACTGCCCGCGGCACGGTGCGCACCCTGAAGGCCAGGCAGGTGCCAAGGGCCAACCTGCCCTCGGCTCTGAGTGCGTGCACCCTGAGCCCGTTCAGCTTGCCGTCCGCGATGACAATGACCGCCGGCCCCCAGCACGCCGCGGCGCACGGTGCGCCACGGAAGATGTGGCACGTCTTGGCCCCCGCGGCTTGCAGCAACTCGATCATAGATGCTGCTCTCTTGGCTCGGGCAAGCCTCTTGTCCTGCTCTGGCACTCGCCGCCTGCCGCCGTCGTTGCCGTCGCCACTAAGGCATCTCATGCCAGAGGCTCTGGCCAGGCCGAGCTCATACCAGTGGCGGTCCAGCTCCTGAGCCAGCTCCGCATCTGCGGCCATCCACCCCGTCTTGCCCCAGTTGATCTTGGGGCGCCTCTGCTGAGGCCCCTCGAATAGGTCGTGAGAATTTGGGGGCAGCTGGCGCCCCGCCAGGCGAGCCGCGCCGACTGCCTGGAGGAGGCGGTCGTCCACCAGGCTCTGGGCCCGCACCAGCGGGCACCTGCTGGCGATGCTGCGCAGCAGGGTGTAGGTCAACAGCTTGGCGACTCCAACCGCGCGCGAGCAGCCCGCTGCCGCGGCGCCGTTGGCCTCGATGGCGGGCCCGACCCCCTTGCCAAGCATCGCCCTACGCGGGAGGCGGTAGCTCGAGCAGAGGGCCCTATGTAGCACCATGGGGAACTCTGTCACGACTGTCTGGTCGCAGAGCTCGCCGTGGCTGGTCATCTCGCAGTACTTCGCGAGGTCGATCGCCAGGGTGCTGGACACCATGCATGTCTTCCTCGCGAAGGCGGTCATCATGTTGTGCACGAACCCAGCCTTGTCGCAGGAGCGGTCGGAGGTGCCCCAGTGGAAGGACTGGTCGATCCTTCACCCCCAAGCTGCAACAACAGGCTGGCGCAACTTCGGCCAGAGTCCAGATGCAAGCCATGATGATGGGCCGCGCACCTCCAGGGGGGGGGGCTCCGGCAGGGAGACCACCAACAACATCCACAGCGAGCATCGCATCGGCTGCCTCTCCCAGGCTTCCACGATGTCCAGGAACGCCTGTTTGTAGTGGCGCGGCAGCCACCGAAGCTGCCGTGGGCGCAGGCAGTCCCATCCAAGGCCTGTGCCCTCCCCATAGGAGGCCAGCACGTAGACCAGGGCGTCCATGGTGATGGGCGGGAGGTCCTGCCACCTGCACCGCGCGCCCAGAACCGTGGGTCTGGATCCCCTTGCCTGTTGGGGTGAACCCACAGGTTCCCCCATTCCTTTATCAGCACCTTCATGGCGGCATCACCTGCCACTGGGAGGCCAGGGTCGCCCTCGTCGTCCTCGTGCGCTATCGCCGTCGACGGGATCAAGCTGCCGTCCTCGATGCAGCGGCATGCCTTCTGGCCTCCTGACTTGGTGGTTGCCTCTCGTGCCCACTCTCTCCATTCCATGCTGCGCTCGGCCTTGCCCCCCCTCTGGATGGAGGCGGCGCGGTCGTGGAGGTCGACCAGGAGGGCGTGGTAGTCGTGCGCGTCCAGCTCCTGGAGTGCGCGCGCACTGGCATGCTGGTCCCAGGCAGCTAGCGGCCCAGCAGTCGGCCACTCCGCCTTGTCGAACTCGAACGCACGCACCATGCGGACCTGGCGCTCGAAGCGGGAGTACCTGACCCAACCGTTGTCCAGCTGGTGTCCTCGGAGAGTGGCCGCCTTTCTGCAAGACGCCAGCAGGCCTGCCCACTTGCGGTGCTCGGCGCTCGACGTCTCCTTCAGCGTGTCCTCCCACTCCTGGACCAGAGGGGCTGTCTCCACCTGCAGGCCTCTGTCTCTGGCCGCTCTGCTCTGCTCGTGACCTTCCAGGGGCCAGCGAGTACCGACTGGGGTAGACCGCCTCTCTGGCGCAGGCCATTGAGCTCGATGGCGGTCGGCGAGCGCGGCGAGATCGGGGCGTCACTCAGCACCTTGACCGCGCCAACCCGGCTGGCAAGAGCCCCGGACACTATGGCGTAGTCGCACTCGCGCTTGCCACAAGCCGGACTCCACGGACGCACGAGCACTCCTGAGGCCTGCTTGGCCCAGCTGGCCAAGTCCTCGGGCCCGATGTTCCAGTCCGCCAGGATGACCCATGGCCACTCAAGGCTGCCGGCCCAACACTGCAGGGCCTCAAACAGCACAATGCTGTCGCCCACGGCCCCGACGCTGTCCACCATGTAAACCGAAACGAAAAAGATCGGGAAGCCCAGGCCCGCGTTGAGCTTCGCGGCTCGCGCCCGATGGGGCCCCAGCACACTGCGCCCCTTGGGCTTCTCCACGCTGGCCGCCGCCATCGCCGTGAGGACTGCCGCTCCCCCGCAGCTGTCCAGGGGCCCTGGGCCCGTGTCCTGGGCCAGACCTCCGAAGAACTCAAAGCCAGTGTGCCTAGCCCAAGTCGCCGCCGATTCAGCTTGGCGCCGCGCTTGATACGGCGCCCCTGCAAGCCGACGACATCGAACGTCAGCTTCTTGTCCCTGCAAAGTCTAACCGCGCTAACTGGCACCTAGCCCACCTGCATCTGGCACCTAGGATTCAACCCTCCTGAGGCTCTCATTCACTTGCTGGGGGGCATGGGATCTAATGGAATTGAACGCGCGATGGGGGCTAAGATCGCATGGATGGGCTAAGATCACATGGAATCCAATCTGCGGGGGAACGCGCCAGGAAATAATGTCGAGTCAAATATGACTTGCTCCTTTCTTCCTGTTCCTGCTCCTCTCTCTTCCTGGCCCCTCCTCCTGCTCCTCCTCCTCTCATTTAATAATTGAATATGCGCTTGCCTTGGACAAGCGCATCCCCCTGCCTATAGATGATGCCCCCCCTGGGGCCCTCTTTTTTTTTTTTTGGGGGGGGGGGCAGCGAGGGCACTGGCGTGGTGTTGCTAAAGCCCGCCGATGGAAAGCACAAGAAGATGATTGACGCGTCGTCTTGTTTGCCTTTGAACTCGGTACTGTTTCTTGCCCCTAGCCTTCGGGTATAAAAAGCATGGTAGTCGTCTCGTCGCCAGGGGGAGGCTCCTCATCCTGCTCCTCCTCCTCCTCCTCCTCCTCCTCCTCCTCCCCCCCCCTTTCCTCCCCCCTCTTACTCCCTATCTATGTCTCTTCCACCTTTTCTCCCAAATTCGCTGCGGCAACCAGGCGCCATCTGTCCGCTTATACCTTAGCTCCGGCGGCGCCCGCGGCGGCGGCGCCCCGCCGAAACTTAGCCCCCCGCCTACCTCTCGCCCTTCACGCGAGCGCACCCGCGCTCGAAGGCCACAGTGACGGCGGCCCCCCCCAAGGGCAACTGGGCTTCGTCGAAGCCTGGGGGAGGGGGGCAGCAGCAGCAGGTGAGAGGGGGGAGGAGGAGGAGCCAAGTTGGGGGGGGCGAGGAGGACGAGAAGGAGGAGGACGAGGAGGACGAGGAGGACGAGGAGATGGAGATGGAAGACAGGGGGGACAGCAGCAGGGCCCCCCCCCTCATCACTCTGCCTGGAACGAACTACGCCCCCTCATCATCTGCCTCCTCCTCTTTTTCCCCTCCTCCTCTTCCTCCTCTTCACCTCCTCATCACATCATCGTCCCCTCTCATCGTCTTCCTCCTCCCCCGCCTCCTCCTGCCCGTCCACTCCTCCTCCCCCCCTGTCCTCGTCATCATCCCCCTTGTCCTCTTCCTCCTTATCCTCCTCCCTCCCCCCATCCTCCTCCTCCTATTTCTCTTCCGACCCCTCACGTTCCTGCTCCTCCTCTTCCCCCCTCTCCTTGTCCTCCTCGTCCTCTTCCTCCTCCTTCTCCTCCTCCTCCCTCCTCCTCACCTCGTCCTCCTCCCTCCTCCTCCTCCCTCCTCGTCCTCCTCCTCCACCTTGTCCTCGTCCTTCTCGTTCTCGCCCTCGTCCTCGTCGTCGTCGCCCTCCTCCTCCTCCTCCTTCTCCTCCCCCCCCTCCTCCCTCCCCCTCCTCGCCCCCCAGCCGCCCGCGAGCCCTGGTGGCGCCTGCCGCAGCCGCATGCCTTAGCGCCTCGCCCTCGTTCTCCCAGAGCTTCTCGAGTTTCGCGATGTCCTCCATGGCGCGCGAGTTGCCAGGTGGGAGGGCCTGGGGGCGGCTCGCGCGCACGAGGCGCACCGCTTGCTCAACCCTCATTAGCCCCATGGCGCAGAGACACACAGCAGCCACGCACGCCGACCGGCACTCCCCCTGGCGGCAGAAGATGAGCACCTTAGCCCCGCGCGGCGCCGCAGCCAGGGTTCTTATCGCACCCCTCAGCTGCTGCGCGACCCCGTGGTAATTCCACGATGCTGGCAAGTGGACTGGGTCCCTTAGCCCTGCCGCCCACTGCCGCACCCCGCCTCCAGGCCCGGCGCCGAGGCAGTCCACCAGGATGTCCCAGTCCAAGCTATTAGCCCTATCCTGCACAGCTGCCACGCCGCCGAGCCACCAGTTCATGCCCCACCCTGTCAAGAGCTTCGATGGAATGAGATTATTCGGATAAGTCGACAGCCAGTGCACGCGCGGCAAGGCCGCGAGACGGCGGTCTTCCTCGACCACCGCTGCCCACTGGCGCCGCCGGTGCTCCGCGCTTAGCGCCTCCAAGACCCGGGTCTCCAGCTGGTCCTTGCGAGGTGGCCAGGCAGGGGGGATGATGTCTAGCCCCAGGTTTGTAGCAGGCGGCCGGCCCATCCTGCCCCCACTACCACCCCAGGTTGTTGGTAGCAAGCGGCCTCTGGGGGAGGAGGGGCCCAGGGTTAAGGGGGAGCTACCTACCAGCCCCCCCTTGTCTTTCCCAACCAGCAAGTCCTGCTGCGATTGCGGATCGGACCACCCAGGCACCGGGGCGTCGCCGATCAGCATGTCGTACGCCACCTTCTAGCCCGCCCAACGAGCCGCCGCCCCCCCCTGCCTCGACCCCGCGCCACCGCCAACCGCCATGGGAGGCGGGGGGGGGCGGCGGCTGCTGCGGGGGAGGGGGGGGGGGGCGGCAGTGATTATTAGCCCCAGCAACAACGCCTTCTCGAGCGACGCCTGCGCGCCACCAGTCGCCGGCAGGCCCAGCAGCGCCCGCCCAGCGCTGCCCACCTGGGCCACGGGGAGGGCAGGGCGAAGAAGCAGCCCGCCGCCGCCGCTGCTGCTCGCTGCCGCCGCCAACCGCCGCCGCCGCCACCACCACCACCACTGCCGCCCCGCCCCAGTCACTGCCGCTCTGCTACCGCCACTGCTGCCGCTCCCGCCACCAGTGCCGCCGCTCCAACGCCACCGCGACTATTGCCGCCGCCCTCTGGCCGCAGGTGGTCTGTCTACTACTAGCGAATCCCACCGGCCCTTTAGGGCGTAGGTGGCCTAAAGAGTTTCCTCTTCCAACCTCCTTCTTCCCCTTGGGAGGGTTTTTTTTACCCCTCCCCCTCCTACCCCCCCCCCTCTGGACCTGGTTTTTTACCTCTCCCCCTCCCCCCCCCCCCCTGGACCTATACAAACTTATATATATATATATATATACATATATACATACTCATACACATGTATAAGGCGGCAAGGGTTTGGCCGATTCTTTAGAGCGCCAAAGATTGCCCAAGATGGCGAAAGGACGAGGGCCGCCAGTGATGCCCGCCCCCAGATGGCCTCCTCCTCCGTCCCACCGCACCGCAGATCGCCAGATATGGCTTCCAACATGCTCCGAGGTGCCCTGCCTGAGAAATGTTGTCGCGTACTTTCAGGGCCCTCCTCTGAGAAGCAATGTTTTATTTTGCGTTCCCGCTATGAAAAAATATTGATATTATTTAGTCAAAGCCGCCCAGGAAGCGAAATCGATCGTCCCGGAGAGAGAAGTGCGCGTGTGTGTGTGTGTGTCTGTGTCTGTGTCTGTGTGTGTGTGTGAGAGCGTGTGTGCGTGCATGCGTGCGTGCGTGCGTGCGTCGTGTGCGTGTGTGTGTGTGTGTGTTTGTATGTGTGCGCATGCGTGTGCGCGTGCGTGCGTGCGTGCGGCGTGCGCGTGCGCGTGTGTGTGTCCTGGGTGGGGGGTGGTGTGTGTGTGTGTGTGTGTGTGTGTTTGTAGTTGTGTTTGTGTGTGTGCATGTGTGTGTGCGCGTGCGTGTGCGTGTGCGTGCGTGGGGGGGGGGGGGGGTCTTTAAGCCCCCCGCCACCACTGCCACCACCACCACCACCGCTGCATCTGATTGATCGATGCCCACAGGAAGGCGGCCCCAAGAGGCCCCCCCCCCCAATACTCTGAGCAAGAGGAGGGTTCCATGGAGAGGGCCCCCAGTGGGCTCGCTGCTGACCCTCGCTCCTCGCTATCCCCTCCCCCTTGTTGCGGCGTCCAATGCGACGCTGCGACAATGGGGGCGCAGCAGGCGGGCATCCCGCGCCCCCGCCATCCTCCTCCTCCTCCTCCTCCTCCTCCTCCCCCCCCCTCCTCCTCCTCCTCCGCCTCCTCCTCCTCCACCTCCAATCCCCGTTGCCTCTTGTGTCTCAGCCTCCCCTTCCTCCTCCTCCTCCTCCTCCCCCTCCTCCCACCACCTCCTTCTCTTCCTCGTCGCCCCGCGCAGCTTCCGCTGCTTCCCCGCGGCCGTTTTGGCTCGCGCAGCGATCTCAGCGTAGATGGCCAGTCTTGGAGATGAGCTGCTGGGGCTATTGCTGTCGGGCGATGATGGCGGTGTTCAGCGGCCAGCTCGCCCGGCGCTAAGCAGGGCCAGGCTTGGAGATCAACTGCTGGGGCTACTGTTGTCGGACGACGAGGGCGCGGAGGAGCAGGCAGCCCGCCCGGGGCTCGCGCGCTGGACTGCTGCGTCGCCAGCGCCTGCCGCTGAGCCGGCGCCGGCATCTGCACTGCTGGCGCCTGCAGCTGCATCGTCGGCGCCAGGCGTCGTCCGCGCAGTGCGCAGCAGCCGCGCTTTCACTTCGCCTGCCTCGCCTGCGAGGCCGCCGCGCCTCGCTGCAGCCACGCCTGAGCCATGGTTCGCTGCAGGCCTGCTGGCCAGAAGTCCCCAGCTGGATGATGGCGACGCTGCAGCTCGCAGGCAGCGCCAACGACAGGTGCGTCGTCGTTTGAACGACTGCCTCAACATTGTTGGGGCTAACAGTGGCATTGCGACCAACGCGACTGCTGGGGCTAATAACGCTAACAGCGGGGCAGACGCTGGAGGGGGGGCCGACGCAGCTGCCACAGCAGGCGCTGGAGCTGACATGGTTGGCGCGGTTGGGGCTAACCGCGCTGACAGATGGGCTTGCACTGTAGGAGGGGCCAGCAGCGCGGCTGACGCGGCCAGCGCTGCAGCAGCCCACGTGGCAGGCGCAGCCCGCGCTGCCAGGGCTGGCGGCGTGGCTGCCGCTGGCCCCGCGGCGGTCGCCGAGCGCGCCCCCCCCTGGTCAGTGGGCGCAGGCGCGCCGGACGTCGTGGCAGACGTGGTGGAGGACGACGTGGGGGACGTGGCGGGCGCGGCGGACGCAGCGCCCGTGGAGGACGCAGGCTTGGCAGCAGCGGCGACAGCGGCGGCCGCCGGCGGAGCGACTGCTGGGTCCTCGTTCGCTTCCTTTTTCGGAAGGTGGGCCCGCCCCCTCGCTCCAGAAGAACGACGCGAGCTTCAGGCGGTCTGTTTTTCGGGCGGCATTGTCGCGCCGCGCGCGGGGAGCCACGACAGGAGAAGAAGGGGCCCTGAGGAATCCCTCCGAGAGGGGCATCCTCAGGGCTCGCAGCATGATTTTTTCTTCGCCTTGCGAGCAATGCCACCCGCTTTACTGACCACCAGAGATCTACAATGGGAATATGCCCAGAGCGATAGCCTCGACGTCATTGCGCGCGCCACGCGTCTTCATGCTGAGATCGTCGCGACGGACCTAGGCCCATTGTTGGGCGTTAGCGCTAACGAGTTGCGATGGCGGGTGGGCGAGACCCTCCGCCGCCACTGCGCGGGGCTAAGGGGCGCGTACATTGGTTCCTCATCTGACCCTGAGTGGCGGTGGCGGGGCGGGCCGAGCTGGAGGTCAGGGCGCCGCGGGTGGATGGATGGCCACTGCCTTCGATGGAGGAAGATGGTCGTCCTCGGCTAGTGGCCCGACGCAGAGGCGGCGGCGCTGGAGGAGGTGGCCATAATTGCTGGGCGGTCGTCGCTGGGGGGGGCCCTGGAGAACGTCGCGGACGACGCGAGGGGGCTTGAGATCAGGCACCATCCAGGGTATAGTTGCATTTACATATGTGTCCAGCGGCGGACCAGGTGAATTGAAATGGGGGGTGGAGATAGGGAGAGACCAGGGAG